AAAGAGGGGAAGGCGAAACGTACGTCGTGTGAAACAACTTGTTTTGTAGTCAACTAGTCCATCACAATGTCATGCATGAGGAGTTCTGTAGGAGTTTGGCTTTCGGCTTGTACAATTCGTTTTCGCAAAGCTTCCCTTTCTTTACTTATCTTTGATATTTACGACCCACCCAAGTTGGGTGGTGTGCTGCTTTGCTGCTTCGAATTGTAGTTAGACCGCTTTGTCAAATACTGGTCTCGTCATCGTCCAGTGACAATCGACATTCTTTGTTCCGTTGGGACTGTAGCTTTTGCTCGTTTTCGTTGCGCTTGCCTTCCCCTCTTAGGTCTTTCCATAACCTTGAACCTTCCAAGTTGGAAGGCTGTCGGTTAACGCTACGGAGATGTGTTAAAGTTAGGTGTCAGGACGTCGAATGTCTCAGTACTCTGTCAGTTTTGTGCCTAGTTATTGCACTTTCTGACTGTATATAGTATCATGTTACAGTGATGGAGAGTTACTCTAAACTCGTATCCATATGTCCTTTTCTCTTTTACATTTATTTATGGCTCAACATCCGAGTTTCAAATTGCACACCTGATGAGCCGTCACGAACCATACGGCGAAACGTACGTCGTGTGAAACAACTTGTTTTGTAGTCAACTAGTCCATCACAATGTCATGCATGAGGAGTACTGTAGGAGTTTGGCTTTCGGCTTGTACAATTCGTTTTCGCAAAGCTTCCCTTTCTTTACTTATCTTTGATATTTACGACCCACCCAAGTTGGGTGGTGTGCTGCTTTGCTGCTTCGAATTGTAGTTAGACCGCTTTGTCAAATATCGTACTGGTCTCGTCATCGTCCAGTGACAATCGACATTCTTTGTTCCGTTGGGACTGTAGCTTTTGCTCGTTTTCCTTGCGCTTGCCTTCCCCTCTTTGGTCTTTCCATAACCTTGAACCTTCCAAGTTGAAAGGCTGTCGGTTAGCGCTACGGAGATGTGTTAAAGTTAGGTGTCAGGACGTCGAATGTCTCAGTACTCTGTCAGTTTTGTGCCTAGTTATTGCACTTTCTGACTGTATATAGTATCATGTTACAGTGATGGAGAGTTACTCTAAACTCGTATCCATATGTCCTTTTCTCTTTTACATTTATTTATGGCTCAACATCCGAGTTTCAAATTGCACACCTGATGAGCCGTCACGAACCATACGGCGAAACGTACGTCGTGTGAAACAACTTGTTTTGTAGTCAACTAGTCCATCACAATGTCATGCATGAGGAGTACTGTAGGAGTTTGGCTTTCGGCTTGTACAATTCGTTTTCGCAAAGCTTCCCTTTCTTTACTTATCTTTGATATTTACGACCCACCCAAGTTGGGTGGTGTGCTGCTTTGCTGCTTCGAATTGTAGTTAGACCGCTTTGTCAAATATCGTACTGGTCTCGTCATCGTCCAGTGACAATCGACATTCTTTGTTCCGTTGGGACTGTAGCTTTTGCTCGTTTTCCTTGCGCTTGCCTTCCCCTCTTTGGTCTTTCCATAACCTTGAACCTTCCAAGTTGGAAGGCTGTCGGTTAGCGCTACGGAGATGTGTTAAAGTTAGGTGTCAGGACGTCGAATGTCTCAGTACTCTGTCAGTTTTGTGCCTAGTTATTGCACTTTCTGACTGTATATAGTATCATGTTACAGTGATGGAGAGTTACTCTAAACTCGTATCCATATGTCCTTTTCTCTTTTACATGTATTGGTTTAAAGATAAATGTGTTGTTTTTTCACGGCTGAGCGTAGCGAAAGAGTGTAAAAAACGTATTTTTCACTCACCATTTTTCTGTCGTGCTCTGCTGCTCTTCCACTGCGCAACTCTCCCCCACCTGCCATCGTGGTCTTGTCATCCTCGTAGAGCGTGGAGTTTTCCCACCCTCCCTCCCTTGGGTCCCGTACGTTTTTGGGCTTCCATTGGGTGCTGTTTTACTGGTTTTCCATGGCATGCTTTGTTTTGTGTGTTTCTGTCCCGAGGGTCTCGGTGTTTTTTGGTTGTATGGTTACTCCTTTCTGCTTGTTTCTCTTCGGTTTTTCTTTTGGGTGTGACTGGCAGTGGGGCAGGTCCCATATTAGTAGAAGGGTTTTTTGGCCGCAAGGCGAGTTTTTCCCCCAGCCCTGTTGAGTGGTCGTGGCTGGAAATTTAGGGAGTCGGATTTCCAGGCGCTCCCCCACTGGCCAGTCACCTACACCAGGACATTGCTCTGCTCGTGTCTTGCACTGACATACTTGTATCTCTTGCCGGCCGCGGCCTTACTCTTCATTACTTCTGGCCTAGTTTTTGGCTAGCGTGTGGCTGTGAGTGTGGTGTGACGGTATACTGAGTACATTCTGTGAGTACATTCTGGTAGACCACTACCCCCATCGTGAGTACATTCTGGTAGACCACTACCCCATGTACAACCCGGTTGCTATGTGAGTGAAATGATGAGCATACATTGGGTCAGCCAAGGGAAATGCCAGCGGAAGCAGTACAGCAGGGGTCGGAAAATAGAGAAAATATTGTAACCTCAAACACATAAAGGAATTACCCAAACTGTCCAAATGTGAAGAAACCAAAACACAAAAGTGCAAATATTGGAGCTGTCCACTGTAAGGCCACTGTTACAATGCACATTTTTTTTAACTCAAAGTTGGCTCCTTTCATCCCTGGGTGGTCCTCATTGCCCCGCTGCAACAGTTTCGTCTAGACACCCTCTCGGTTCCGGAGATGGGCAAGGTACAAATTGTTAAAAGCATGTCCGCGTAGGTAGCGGGGTGCCACTTTTGCTTATGCCACTCAGGATTGATGTCTGAAGAGTAATACGATACAATGAAATGACAGAAGTGATGTCAACAAAAGCCGACAATACCAATAGGACTAAGGGAAAACTTCATGCAAAGTATAAAATAAAATAGAATATGCATACAACATGTCTGGCGGAATCAAGTGGATCACGAGAATCAGTCCTGTTAGGTGGGGCGGGCTCCACACCATGCCTGTCTGTCCGCTGCCATTGTGCGGACTGCGTCAGCATCTAGCGGCTGGTGGAGGGTAAGTCCATGCCATGATGACAGTTCCGTCTGCAAGATCGTTACCAAAGTCGTCCGAGGTCGACCCCTGAAGCGTTCAGTGCCCTCGTCATTGGCCAAGCGAAGATACATATCCACTGCCAACTGTGGAGGAGCAGTTGGGGCCAAATGAAAGATATGGCCAGCGAGACTGTAGCGCTGCCTTGTGATCATCTCGCTGATGGGGACAGCTCCGCAGCGCTTATACAGAGTGTCATTGCTAATTCGTTTAGGGTACCGCATGTCGATGATGCTCCTTAGCTGGGTCCTGTGGAACGAATCCATTCGCGCGAATGTCGGAGCTCGCGCGAAGGTACAAAAGTGGACTAAAATATGCTTTGAAATTAGGCACAAGAATGAGGGATCACGCGGCTTCTCACAACAAAAACATCGTATCCAAAACAACTACCGTATTTCCCCGTAAGTTAGTTCTCCCCTATGACTTAGTACCCCCTATAAAAAATACACTTTCCACTGCCGAGGTTATCACCCCGAAAGACAGTTCCCCCCGAAAGATAGTAAGTTCGTACCCGTCCTACATGTACAGACACCGTACAGTACATACATCATATGCACGGACACTAGAGTTGCGCAGGCTTCCCACTGCGTGTCATTTACCCCCGATAAAAAAGTACTCCCCGAAAGATAGTACCACCCCCGAGAGTTAGTACTCATGTGGCTGCTAAGTTCGAAAGTTAGTACGTACTAACTTACGGGGAAATACGGTTTGTTCGCACTCCGATCGATTTTACCATGTAATGTAATGTAAGCCATGCAACTGGTGACCAGCAACTTGCTGAGTCCATCTAAAAAATTGTCCTAAGAAAGCCATTGCGTAGACCATCTACATGGCCAGTCGCAGCAAGGTTACCTCCTAATATTTGAGGTAAACTGCCACCATAGTCTGCAACAACACAGCCAACAAGAAGTCTTGAACAAACTGTCCAAAAATCTTTCTTTTTTTATTTATTTTTTATTGAAAAACCACAAACCTTCAGACATGTGAATGTGTACATGATATACAGTGTACATACGTATCATTTGGGGAAATGTTAAAATTTTGAACTCTCCAATGGCCATACTCTCGCGGAATCCAACCTCGCGGCAGGAAAGCACACGCGGAGCGCAGCCACTTGCCTTTTTTCTAAGCTACCAGCACTGAAACAAAATGGCTGTAGTAACTGCCCTAGCAAACCTTCAATGAAGCCGCCACAAAGCGCCACTTGCTGAACAACTGAGCGCAACATGACAAAAAGGAGACCTGGTTTACAACAACAAATGAGCAAGGACTGCGACAGTCGCACAAGATCTGCCAGGAAGTTCTTGGGCATACACAGGCAAAATGTGCATCCAAAATCTCACTAGAGCCACTTCAAATGCAGTATAACTGGTCAAGGCGACCAGTTGTTCCTGAGGACCAATGAATCTGGGACCAATGGAAGTTATCTCCAGGCAACTGAACCAGGATAAGGATACCACCTCTATACAAAGACCACATTAAGGGGGTTCCTTGAGCAGTCACCTTAGACAGGTTTCACTGTTTAATACCCAAACTACTATGGATTTGGATACAAACCGCACATAAAAGGAAAACTTGTTTGGCCATTTCCAAAAAAGGTAAAATGGATCCATTGTATGTCACTTTTGCATCTAAACTCTTCACATGTATCATGCCAATATTAGGGAGGTTAAGCTCATAAGCATTGCTTCCAGGACAGAGGCCTGGAGCAGGGAGGAGTATCTAGGGATCAGTTTCAAAAACATATTAAAGGTGGTGCAGCTGCAGACCTACGTTTTGTGTGATCGTAAGTAGGAGAATGTGATAAAGACATAGGGTTAGAGAGATGATAGGAATATTTTTTACATGCATACTGGTGAATGATATCAACATGTTGCTATTTGAAGAAGTATTCTACTGTGTTCTTTGCTTACAGCCCGACAATGTCCCACTCCAGGAAAACCTGACTCCGGACAATATCGTGTAGCACGGCAAGGGCAATATGTCTCGAGACCTTTCCAATATGGTGACACTGTTTTATGGTTTTGCAATAAAGGATTCACAGGAAGTACCCGTGCTGTATGCCAGGCAGATGGTAGATGGAGCAAGAACACACCAACCTGTACACGTACGTACTTTCGGGACTCTGATTGGAACCCACTACCAGTTTGGCCTTTGTTTCTAATCATAATAATTATTTACAGCAGTTTCATACTTACCTGCAACATTTTACCTTTTTCAATACAGTGGAGATCGGATATAACGACTTTGTATAACTATAACGACAGATTGAGTTTAGCGACGCAATTCTGTTGCCCTAGTCGTTTAGTAAGTCCTTTGTGAAGATCGGGTTTAGTGACCGGTCGAATAGTGACATTTTGTTCTCTCCCGAAGGAGTGTCGTTATATCCAATCTCCACTGTATTTCAGTAAAGAGAGAAAGGACCAATAAGTTGCAAGTTATGACTAACAGTTCACCAATGTAACGAGATATTCTACAGTCAGATAGTGCGACAACAAGGCACAAAACTGAAAAGGATATTGAGGCATTCAACAACCTGGCACTTTCGTGGCGAATCCCTTCCCTTCATTGGAACTTTCTGCAACTGAGCCTTCCAAATTGGAAGATTGTGGGTTTGCGCTTCGTAGATGTGTTAGAGTAGGGTTGTTGAATGTCTCAATATGCCTGTCAGTGTTGAGACGTCATGGGAAAATCTCTGCTCTAGTGGAAACTCAAATGAAGCCGCAATGAAGCATCACTTGCTGAACAACAGCACATGACAAGAAAGATAAACAGGTCCACAACAACAAATCAGCTAGGATTGCAACAGTAGCGCAAGATGGCCCAGAACGTTCTTGTGTACTAGACAGCTACTGCACGAGAATTTAAAAGAGGGCATGTCTGAGAATACCAAAGTATTAGGCTAAGTCAATCTCTCCGATTTTGCTCAAAATTTGCAGATAGGTTCCCATTGGGGTGTAGATCGACTGTGCAAAGCTCTTGAAAACGTTTCTGAAGGGAACCTAGAAACTCGCATACCCCGAAAAATGGCCGAAAAATCACATCATTTGGCCCAGTATCAGCGAGAATCGACCTTCGGGTGAAAATCATTTTTGCAGAATGAGTCATTTCTGCAACGGCAAAAAACTCTTGCTTCGCGCTCTGCACATGCAAACAAAAAATTAGTTCATCGCAACAATGGATGCTTTTGATCGTCCTAGTAGTAGGAGAGTTCGCTCACGATGGCCAGCTAGCTGTCGTCCGGCTCTGCCAGAAGCCATTTTATTTCCTAGGCAGGAATCGTCGCGTCTGATAGAGAACTACGACAGTTTACAGAAGATGTTTTTGTCGACGCGCAATTCCTATTTAGCGACGAGAATTTCAACTTGATTTAGGCGCTCCGCCAAAGGAGCTCTCTGCTGGCAAAAGTACTTTCTGACATCTGATAATCCTCGTAGGGCCCTTCTGAATTTAGTACAGCTCCGCTCAGGGGAAATACTGAACGAGGAGAAACTAGTGAGGCGCCGGCAACAGAGGTAGACAAATTGAAATGGCTGGATCAACTCGAGTCAGGACGAAAGAGCGCTGCCGCTAGTGACATGATCTGAATTTTTCCAGTCTCCCACACTGGACTCCGTGGTGAACACCAAACCCCTTGGACGGGGCAAGAGCTGAACATGATTGATGAGCTACGAACTCTCTGCGCTCAGTGCTGGAATCATGGCGCACTGACGCGCATGCAGCAAGTTTCCCACAGAGCTCAAATTTCACAGAGGTGCAGCAGTGATGCCGAGACTACCTCCAAATTGTGTATGAGATGAAGCCTGGGGTGTTAGAATGTTGTGCCTGTGTCGCATTCCCTGTGGGATTCACAGACTGGGACTCCAGGTGTAGTTGTAGCCACCCCCCCCCCCTCCTGTTCTGCACTGTAGTAACTGCCTTTTCTCCACCTGCTCCCAGTCCCGTGCCATCTCCACACTTATACAAAGGGACGACGATAACTACACTTAGAAGACTGTTTATTGACACGACGACGAAACACAACTAGACATGACGAACTCAAGACGAAAACATGATGAACTCAAGACGAAGACATGATGAACTCAAGACGAAGACTGCTTTTCAGACCACAGCAACACGCGCATGCACCAACATAACGCACACAGGACGTACACAAAATAACGTACTATATACGATATGGTAAGTCTATCGATATACGGTACATGCGGTATGATACGGTAAAAAATCCGTCTACTACATGCACTTATGTGGATTTTCAGGGGACTTGGGATGGCGTTCAAACAGTTTTCATTGGTATGCAGTGATGAGGATCAAGGCCATCCATGCTCTATGCCAGAGGTTGCCCAAGACTCAGGAGTTGTTTTACAACAAAACTGGATGAATGATTTATTACACTGACTTTTGTAACACATCATGGCCAGCAATCGAGGACATCTGAGAGTTGTAATTTTTGGCATGCTGGGCCAAGCACAAGGAAGCCATCTGCCAAAAAAACTGGAAAAATGGTTGTTGTTTGATCCTCTGGTGTAATCTTTGTAGCTAATCGAAGCTAATTGCTGTTTGGAGCAGAAACGCTGAAACTGAATATTTTCAGCATGTACTCATGCGTGTGCTCATGTACTCAAGCATGTAGTCTCACTCGTATTTTAGCTCTTTTTCTGGAATGGATGCTGCTCTGCAACCCTTGGTGAACATTTCCTGCACTCGTGGAGCAGCTGAAAAGGACCACTGGTATGTCTGGTTCCTGGTTTGAAAGTGGAGAGTCGACTTTTGTGCCTTGAAAAAGGAGTAAAAAAAAAGAAAAAGTAAATTATCGTATCCGTTCCCAAAGGGAACTCACGTTCCCGAAGGGAACTCACGACGGCCGCTAACACCCGATAAACCCTAAAAAGGAGTAGAGAACAATAAAGGTACGTCTGTAGCTTATTCTTGAGCGCTCCTCGTAGATTTTTGATCGTGATAGAAATTCTCAGACCAAAGTCAGCGCGAAGATGGCCGTACAGTTTTCTTGTGGATTTTTTAGTTGTTTTGTCTCGTATCTATGCCAGTATCGTGATGGTGAAGTGGAGAGGGTAATTTTCTTACCCTAGGCTTCGTTCGGCCGACTTTGCTTCGTCCTCGTTGAAAAGTGATCATGAAAAAAAGGTCGATTCATAAAATTATGTTGAATTTCAATGAACATGATGACATGCGATTGCTGGCTATGAGTATTCCGATGTGGAAAACACTGTGATAAATTGTTGTATTTCCTGATATGTACCTATGCTTGTTTGAGAAGCTTCTGGGTCATCAAATATTGCTTTGTTCGGTCTAATACTTTGCCATGTGATCACTAGATACCTATAGATGACAACAGCAGAAAAAGTCATTTTGTGAAAAATCACCCTAAGGTCCATTTTTGCAGATACTGGGCCATTTATGGTTCTACAAACGAGTCACGTCACAGTGTACACGAACAAGCCATGACTCTGACAAAACTCCATCAAGCCAACATTGCCTCACCTTAGGAGAGTTCCTGGAGCAGTACCGCTTAGCAACGCCAGCATCCCAGAAGACGAGGACAATCACCCCCCCCCCCCCACCCCCCCCCCTGACGCCACAAAAGATTGTCTTGAGCTGATAAAACTATTTTGAAGTAACTACGCTGATAAGCTAATATTAGTCACAGTATATTCCAGCACTGGTGTTATCTTCTATTGTGGTTATAGCACTGCCTTAGCACTGCCTTAGCCTACATTACAATTACCCTATACATCATGTACATGGTGCGTCCATGGAGCTATGAAGCCGAGACCTCTGGTCGGCGGAGCTTAATGGGCCCCACCACCACACTCCATCATTCACCCCAGTGTCTGGAGATATGTGGATTTTGTAGAAAAAAAAAACAAAACAAAAAACATGTAGTACAATGTATAACCAGCGAATAGCACATCATGTTTTATCGTCTGATGAGTGTTTTTCAACACGAAACTCCGAGTTACGAGAAAGCTTTTGGTCTCTGTTGTTCTGCCTTGTGTATCTATCCATCTATCTATCTATCTATCCATCTACAAATATTACACAGCAATGAATCAAACGAGTCTCTTTCCGCTGTTACTCCGAGTTTCGTGTCAAAACACTTCATCAGACGGCATATGACCAAGACTAACAATCACTAGAATATATACGGAGAGAAGGCAGAGGTGATGGAGGTACATTTCAATAGCGCGAGGAAAAGGGATGACAAAGTATGAAGTTGTCTGATGAGTGCTTTCGCACGAGACTCGGAGTAACAACGAATTTCTCGGCTATCCATCGCTTGATGACTTGTGTATCTATCTTTCTATCTATCAAACAAACATCTAACAAACATCTTGTGTATCTATCTATCTATCTACTCAATCTGCGGACAGTATGCTGTTTCGCTCTTTGTGAACTCATCAGCGCAGCACAGAGGAAATGAGGCCGAACCTGATAGCAATGAAAATATAAATTTCCAATCAGGCCCGAACGTACCTTGCCAGAGTGCTCAAACTGACAAGCCAGTGAGCTCTGCGTAATGCAAACAGCAAAGGCACTACCCCACATGAGAGTGCTCGACCACTACAAGAGCAGGAGCGAAAATACTCAATCTGCGGACAGCATGCTGTTTCGTTCTTTGTGAACTCATCAGCGCAGCACAGAGGAAATGAGGCCGAACCTGATAGCAATGGAAATAAAAATTTCTAATCAGGCCCGAACGTACCTTGCCAGAGTGCTCAAACTGACAAGTCAGTGAGCTCTGCGTAATGCAAACAGCAAAGGCACTACCCCACATGAGAGTGCTCAACCACTATCTATATATCTATCTATCTATCTTTTTCTTTCTCTCTCTCCATCTCTCTTTTTCTTTTACAATAAATATTGGTGAACAGGTATAAGTTGCCAAGACCAAGGACGGCTTGTCAATGGAGATAGCACATCGACAGGTCAACAATTTGGTAGTACAGTAACATATCGATGTCATAAAGGCTTCTACATGGAGGGTTCTACAAGTGGTGTTGTTACTACACGATGTTTATTCGACACAAGGTGGTCTCATGATAAACCCACTTGTTTGCGTAAGTACGAAATAATTTTCTATCAGGTTCAGGTTGGTGGGTTTTCCATCCCGCAGCGTTTCAGATATGTAGCCCAGTCCTGGTACGGGATTGTTTGTTAAGTAGAGGTGCTAATCTTTAACAGAGGCATACCTATGATCAGTACATATCAACTTGCACTTTTTTTAATGCACACAACCCATAATATGATGTCGGCATTTGTTTTCGGGTATTGAATAACATTTTTCCGCCATAATCCTGTTTTCAAAAGACTCCCCCCCCCCATACATACAGACACAGCACTTCCTCAGAACGGCGCAGCAACCTGGATGCAGTTTTTAATGCACTGCGTGTTTCTCTGTGCTTCTCTGTTGAACAGCCCGGGCGTGTCCTGATCCAGGCAGTCCTACATTTGGTGCCTTCTCTGTTCAAATGGGAGTACAGCGTGCCAGTCTGACACCCTACCTGTACAACGACACTGTCACATGGACATGTTATATCGGCTATTCTACTACTCAACCTACTACTGCTGTGTGTCAGGCTAATGAAAGATGGAGTAACAACCGCCCAGGCTGCCAAAGTATGTTTTTTTTGTATATTACCAGAAAGCCACAAATAATCATGGTGCAAACAACGGCCAAAAAAAGCACAGATGGATGCACATAGCGATGGCAGCCGGAGCAGTGGAGGCGGAGCAACAGCAGCTAAACCGACTAAGGGTCTCGGCATCCACACTGCTCATGCACGCCAAACAGAAAAATACTAAATGAAAACAAAATGAATAGAAGCACTACAGAGCAAATGAGAAAGTATGGGTAACGGCACAGTCACACAGCGTGCAAAATGGGAAGGAAAGTTTAGGAGCAGACACACATACATTGGCATGTACACAGCAGCAGGAATCCGGCATACACACATGTGAACACATGCATGAGCACACACTCTCTCTCTTTCTCTCACACACAAACACACACACAAACACGTGCATACCTACAAAAGAGTCCTTAGGGATGTGAGGGTGGGTACCCTGCTTAATAAAACCCGGATAGCCATGACTAGGTGATCCGGCACTGTTGCACAAAGACACACACACCCACCCACCCCCCCCCACACACACACACACACATGCACCTGCACACACATTAGTGCACACACATGCACACACACACACATACACACACACACACACACACACACACACACACACACACACATGTGCACACACTTACTTTAACACAGACAATAAACATCGCACACACACATAAACACCCACCCACACGCGCTCACATAATTATGTTATAGATTATTGTCCTGTTTTGTTCATCACAATATTTTAACACTGCTGTGGGGTTATTCTACAACATGTGTTTCAAACAGGGATAATATGTAGAAATCCTGGTCGACCTGAAAATGGCAAGGCTACAACTAACGGATTTGATTATGGAAAGAATAGAAGATACACTTGTAACACAGGTTATAAGATGGAGAACATACCAAGTGGTACACTCACAGTGACATGTGTAGGAACTGGACAATGGTCTCAACCCAAACCTACATGCCAACGTAAGTGCTGTTATCAAGAGTACATAACCAAGAGTGTACAAGTCGATGCCCCCCCCCCCTCCCCCCCCCCCCCCCCCGGCCAACGGTGGAGTTTTTCATGATGGAAGTGTTTCGCAGGCATTAGACTCAATGATGCTATGATACGAAGCTAGATCAAAGGAAAAAGAATTTGTACATCGCAGCTATGGTAGTCAAAGGAGAACAAAGGAGAGCAGATCCATGTGACCTGAACGCAATGAACTGTAATTTGATCTTTTCTTTGATTGCAGCCCGCCAATGTCCCACTCCAGTAACACCAACATCTGGACAGTATTATGTAGAACGGCAAGGACGGCGTCTCTGGAGACGAGGTCCTTTCCAATATGATGACATTGTTAGATGGGTGTGTGATACAGGATTCACAGGGAATACCAACGCTGTATGTCAAGCAAATAGTACATGGAGCAAGAACACACCAACCTGTATACGTACGTATACAAATACTTTTTTTGCTTACTTGAAGTAGGTGTGCAATATGAAACTCAGATGTTTAGTCAATAATGAATTGTGAAAGGAAAGGAACATATGGATACGAGTTAAGTAACTGTCCATGACTGTAACTACAATCGTGGCCAAAGAAATCTGACCCGCGAGTCAAAAGTAGTGCCGCGTTTCCACTTCAATGACATCATGCATGTTCGCAAAAATGACCCGAGGGCCGCAGCGGCCGCATGATCCTTGGCGCTGCTTTCAGCACGTGGGTTGGATGTCTTTGGTCATGACTGCAGATTGTACAGTCAGAAAGAACAACAACTACTAGTAGGCACAAAACTGACATTTGACGACCTGACAGTTAGGCTGACAGCTAGCCGACACATCTCCAAAGCGCAAGCCAACAGCCTTGAAGGAAAGCGCAACGAAAATGACTACAAGCTGAAAGTCCCAAGCTAACAAAGAATGTTGATTGTTACCGGACGGTGACGAGACCAGTAAGATACTTGACAAAGCGGTCTAACTACAAATCCAAGCAGCAAAGCAGCACACCACCCAACTTGGGGCGCCTCAGAAATATCAAAGATAAGTACAGAAGGGGGAGCATTTTGAAGACGAATTGCACAAAACCGTGTTGGTCTCCCCTTATCCTAAAACCTTCTGAGTTGGAAGGCTGTTGAGTGTTGGTTAGCGCTTCGGAGATGCATATGTAGGAGCTAGGTGTCAGGACGTCGAATGTCTCAGTACTCTGTCAGTTTTGTGCCTAGTTGTTGCACTTTCTGACTGTATATAGTATCTAGTTACAGTGGTAGACAGTTATTTTTAACTTGTATCCATATGCCCCTTTTCTTTCTCTACTTCAAGTAGCAGCAACATTAACTAAAAGTTTTAGTTTGTCAAGTTGCCTTTAGCCTTGTTTCTCACTGCTAAGAGAGAAAAGAAAACATGATCATGATGATGTATCATAGCCGCTTATCACGTATTTAGCATGTAACAGTTAGAAAAATATTATCATTTAGAGCATTGCAATTTCAAATTTGGACTTCACGGAGATCTTCAAAGTTTAAGGAAATTAGAGGCCACATGCCACGTACTGCTCTTTTCTCTCCGAAACTCAACACTTGCAAGCCAGATATGAAAGAAAGAAAAATCATCAGTCATACCACCGGGACTCGAACCAGGGACCTTGCTATTCGTGAGCCAAGCCAAAATCGAGGCTCCCTTTTTTGATTCCTGGTGGTGGCAGACATTCTTTTCTTCAGACGTTTTCCTTTGTTCAACTCTATCAAACTTTAAAATATAGACATATTATTGGTTGACTCTATTGGTACATTGTCTACAGGTATAAGCTGTCCTGACCCTGGTGCACCTACTAATGGTAACTACATAGTGACTGGCTTGAAGTACGAGGATACAGTTACGTACACCTGCAGACTTGGCTATGACATGCTCAACCATCCAAATTCTTCTCTTACTGGAGTGTGTATGGCCAACAAGATGTGGTCCAGTACCCAACCCGAATGTGAACGTAAGTACAGTACTCCATTATTATCTCGGCAAACTCCAACTATCCAGGTGCAGTATGTGCAGTGAGTATGTGCAGAGGGTCAAAGGTTTTTGTTTTAATGTACCAAGAGTACAATAAGTATTGCCTCAAGAACACACAAATCTCCCTCTTTATTTCCACGGTATTTGTTTGCTCTTGATGAAAATATGACATCGCCTATGAATATTAGTATATGGCATGGCTCATATTATGGCTGGCAGCATGGCTTTACAATTTTGACAAATATATTAATTTTGGGACTATCAGACTTCCCAAAGCATTGAACCCAAAACCTGACGGAAAGAAAACCGGTGACAAGCTCTGCTGAGCTTCAGTGAGTCAAATAGCCATGTAGAGTCTCTCACTGGCTGAATGTGTATACCTCTACCTATTGTCATGTACAGGAAATTCCTCCTACTGTAAAAGCTATTCTCCCATCCAGAATGGCAACGTTAACTGTTCTGGCCGGCGAATCCATGACATCTGTCAGTATCAATGTGATTCTGGATATGTAAAGGAGCGCCATTCTTCCATTCGCTGCATACCGGGCACCGAGGTCGATGGTAGATGGTCGGAACGAGGATCATGCAGCCGTAAGTACTCTGTGCATTCTTGAGATAAAGCATTGATGAGAAGTGTGGGGAGTTGAGATAAAGAGCACTTAACATGTTGGCTGGGTGATGGGGATTTCCCATATTTCGGGCTTTCACACGTGTATTGGTGAGTTGTGCAGATCATATAGATCCTCCAAGTCAATCAGTGCACGCTGTTGTGTTGCAGACACTGGTTTATGCAAGTACATAATTATGATTGGGTTTCACAGATGTCGAAACATGAATGCATATGCTTTGAAGTACTGTCACACTCATTTCTTTAATCTTGACGTTATGCTGCATTTACTTCTATAGCAAGGAAAGAATTATACCAATAGTATCCATGGTCAGGGCATTGCTTGTCGTATTTCTCATCATTAAAAAAAACAGGCTTGTAGCCCCAGGTCCATTTGGAGTGGTCCCCGGCTATGTAGTTCCTGCAGCATGCCTGGCACCAGCCCACATTGCACCAAACTTGGCAGAGTCACTTGGTTGCTGAGAAAGTCACGGATCAGTCTACCTACACCCCTGCAACCTATCCTATACCTACACCCCTGCAACCTATCCTATACCTACACCCCTGCAACCTATCCTATACCTACACCCCTGCAACCAGTTACCTATCCTATACCTACGCCCCTGCAACCTATCCTATACCTACACCCCTGCAACCTATCCTATTGGATCGGACTGGGACCACTTATGCTCGTGTGTCACTTGCTCTGCATGCTCCAGGCTTCTTCCTCCACCTTTGCTTGTTTTACCTGTTCAGTATTTCTACTGAGTCTCTGTGACGGGAATGGTCTTAGAGACTGCTTCTCCCATTCCCGTTGGCCTTCCAATCACATAATGACTTACACTCTTCCTGCATGCTCTGTATGGTGATCCCGAATTACTTATTATTATTCATGCATAATGGACAACTATTTCTCTACACACATCCTTATTCTGCCTCCCATACCGTACTCTGAACACAGCAGGGAGTCGGATATGACTCCCTGCATTTATTCCGAAATATGAAGCTGGCTACGACGAGAGTTTCCCCTCAGCTCTTGGTTAGTGGCCAGGCACAAGGGGTACATGGATACAGCTAATGGGGTCGTTCTCGGCACTTGTGCCAGTGGTTGTGAGACTTATCCACTCACCCCCACCGTTAGGCGCTGCATCTGTCGCTAGGATTTACCGGGTGTTAGCGGCCGTCGTGAGTTCCCTTCGGGAACGGACACGATAATTTACTTACTTACTTACTCTTGGTTAGTCCAGAAGGAGTGAGTTCGATTTGTTGTGTCGACTGGAGCTGCTAGTAATTTAGTATGCTTACTGTTACAGTCTCTCTCCTCTTTGCCGCGTCCAATCGTAGCAGTATGGGTTGTAGAGACAGAAGCTATCGTAGCAGTATGGGTTGTAGAGACAGAAGCTATCGTAGCAGTATGGGTTGTAGAGACAGAAGCTATCGTAGCAGTATGGGTTGTAGAGACAGAAGCTATCGTAGCAGTATGGGTTGTAGAGACAGAAGCTATTGCACACCCCATGCATGTGCTTTGTTCAGTATGGTGCCGTGGTTGAGGTATGGTGGCGTGGTTGAGGTATGGTGCCGTGGTTGAGGTATGGTGCCGTGGTTGAGGTATGGTGGCGTGGTTGAGGTATGGTGGCGTGGTTGAGGTATGGTGCCGTGGTTGAGGTATGGTGCCGTGGTTGAGGTATGGTGCCGTGGTTGAGGTATGGTGCCGTGGTTGAGGTATGGTGCCGTGGTTGAGGTATGGTGCCGTGGTTGAGGTATGGTGGCGTGGTTGAGGTATGGTGGCGTGGTTGAGGTATGGTGCCGTGGTTGAGGTATGGTGCCGTGGTTGAGGTATGGTGCCGTGGTTGAGGTATGGTGCCGTGGTTGAGGTATGGTGCCGTGGTTGAGGTATGGTGCCGTGGTTGAGGTATGGTGCCGTGGTTGAGGTATGGTGCCGTGGTTGAGGTATGGTGCCGTGGTTGAGGTATGGTGCCGTGGTTGAGGTATGGTGCCGTGGTTGAGGTATGGTGCCGTGGTTGAGGTATGGTGCCGTGGTTGAGGTATGGTGCCGTGGTTGAGGTATGGTGCCGTGGTTGAGGTATGGTGCCGTGGTTGAGGTATGGTGCCGTGGTTGAGGTATGGTGCCGTGGTTGAGGTATGGTGCCGTGGTTGAGGTATGGTGCCGTGGTTGAGGTATGGTGCCGTGGTTGAAGTATGGTGCCGTGGTTGAGGTATGGTGCCGTGGTTGAGGTATGGTGCAGTGGTTGAGGTATGGTGCCGTGGTTGAGGTATAGTGCTGTGGTTGAGGTATGGTGCCGTGGTTGAGGTATGGTGCCGTGGTTGAGCTCTAAAGCGTGACATTCAAGGGGAGGCTCTCAATCATTCAGTGTCCCGACTAGGTTCTTCAAGACGGTAGCATGTGTTACAGTCTGTCCAACCTTGCCACGTTCCAAAGCAGGACACCCTTATATAATGTATACAAAGGCAATTGTCTCCCATGTAAATGTACACAAATGTATTGGTCCAAAGTAGGACAGTTGGACAGCCTGGTGTTATGCGATTTGTGTGGGTTGGCAAAAGTGCAGTGTGGCGTGATGGGTGAACACGCCCAAGTCTGCTCTCAAACTTATTTCAAAAGAATACATGTGCCACTATTCTACGTGCCTTGATTCAGCAATCAACCACTACTGTGAGATTACGCAGATCCATGCACCACTCTATGGCCGCATAGAAGCAAACTCCACCCAGCTGAATGACATGGCATACTTCCAATGTGTGGACGGGTATGATATAAATGTCACGGCCGAGCCTGTGAAATGCATAGTGTTGAATCAAACCCATGGTCAATGGTCAGACTACACCACTCCAGAGTGCTTTCGTTAGTCATTATTCAATGAATGTCCACTTCATCTTGTTTAAAGTCCATTCTTATGTCTTTCTTCAATATTCGGAAGCACCGCTGCAGCCAATAAATCACGTCTTTAAAGTTTCACCACCACCACCGCAGCCGCCGCCGCCGCCACCACCACCACAGCCGTACACTGCAATTTCAGTTGTAATGCTCTCCAATGTTTTTCCCTTGGAAGTTCATCAGGGAGTATTTCAGTGTATTTGTATTTTTTTATTGTTTTGTAGTATGATCATATTGCCATTACTTGGCTCAAGTCCTTTCACATACAAATATACCATGAACTGTAAACATTAGCAGGGAACTTGGGGAAATGCTGGCCTTTTTTACTTTCCTGGCAGCGTTTTGAGAAAAAGTGAATTCAGTGACTCAACATCCATGCAATGTCAACAGCACTATTGCTACTGACTAGCATTTACTAGACAAAAATCTGCAATAGTCATGAGATTCTTCCCTCTCTTGTGATTGTGGCTGGTCCCGGATTGGTTTGCCATGGATGGGTGTTCTCACTCACAAAGTGACTCGCATGTACACATGTCAATGCTGTGTCTGTTCTAGTTCCGGCATCGATTGCCATTCCACAACAGAATGTTACTGCAACTATCTCCACCCATGTTACTCTAAGATGCCAGGTTGTCGGCACGAATATCACCCTCTCATGGCAGAGAACCGAGAGTAGTGAGCACTCGTGGGATGAGTTAGGCTACCAAATCACCAACAAGAGTAATATACATCACAATATGACAGATTCTCAGCTGGAAATCAGCAGTGTCCGCAGAGCTGATGGAGGTACATACACCTGCAGTGCTTGGAATCCCATTAGCAGAGCACAAAAGAGCATCACACTCATTGTTCAAGGTAAGGTTGAAACTGTGTAGGGCTGGTACTGAAGTTTGTGATGCAGCGCACGACCTGATCAGTTTGCTACAGTATCCAGTGAAGTCACTGCAGTCAGACGTTGCTTAACCGCACACATCCATTTTCCACAAAAAAATCCGGATAGGCGAGGGAACCGGATAATCGAACACACATACTGTATGTGTGCATGGCATATGCTGTAAATCGGTAACCAACGATTTTCTTCCGCATGGCGAGGGATCCGGATAAAAGAGGTCTGACTGTATCACTAAACACACACTCAATACCTGCCTGCTAGATACACACACACACACAATACCTGCCTGCTAGATACACACACACAATACCTGCCTGCTAGATACACACGCACACAATACCTGCCTGCTAGATACACACATGCACAATACCTGCCTGCTAGATACACACACACACACACACACACACACAATACCTGCCTGCTAGATACACACACACGCAATACCTGCCTGCTAGATACACACACACACACACACACACACACACACACACACACACACACACACAATACCTGCCTGCTAGATACACACACACACACACACACAATACCTGCCTGCTAGATACACACACACAATACCTGCCTGCTAGATACACATACACACACAATACCTGCCTGCTAGATACAATTTCGAGGAACTGCTTCGGTATCTATGCATCTGGAAAAAACAATATCTGTCTTACTCGGCACGCTTTGTGACATTTGCGGCTAGGATAAGAGAACTCTCATATACCAGGTCCCAGGGGTTCCTATTACAGCATGTCAGTATGGTTTCTAGGCAAACCAAACCCATCATGCACAAGCAACGTATCTCTTCCTCAGCCTCATCCAAGCACTATCATCCAATATCCGCCATGTAGTCTATCTCCTGTCTATCTCTTTCCTGTGTTTTCCCCAATAATATAATATCCCTCCGTATCATGTTGTGTCCTACTTGCATCTATAAGTGTTGGAAGTATGGCTGTTACGGTGCTCAACTCATAGACACGTGGATCTGTAGTCAACACAAGAAGAAGCGGAGCTGTGCTATTAGTCTAGTTTGGTGTGCATTTGACACAGCAGGAAAATGGCACCGAGGAGCAAGAAGAGTGGAAAATAAATAGCAATAGCAGCTAGCGTTTTGAAATCTTCGCCATCCCCGAAACGCCTGCCTACATGTGAACAGGTCGGCAAGATGTCAAAACTCCAAAACGCAGAGATGTGACAATCGTCACTTCGTGCAGCAGAGCAAGATGAACAAGTTCAAAAATAGAAGTCGTTCAGGCACTGCAGAGCCCAGACCTCACCTTGGATGATCTCGCCCTTTCCAGCAGCCTTGACTATGTGTCCTTGGTCGCAAAGGAGAAGGCGAGATCTGATCGCGGCAGTCGGGAAGTGCTGGTACGACTATGATATCAGGAAATTTTAAATGCTTGGCGTTGCCTGTGTTTGTTGTGCCGGGGCATCCTCGAGCAAGAACGGAGGCGGTAATGAGTAGATCTACCAGTGCTGGGGGGGGGGGGGGGGCTACCGGGGTCTCCGTCGAGATGTTGGAGAAGGCATTCAGGTAACAGCGAAGACGATCAGGGACGCGGAGAAGCTTCTCCGTGACATACGACATCGCGTCGATCGATCTGCCACTTGGAACAGTATCAGCGGTGATGATTCGAGCAATGGCGACCCAGACTGAGACTGAGACTCTACTCCCTCTAATCAATCTTGTAGATATTGTAGATATGTCAATTGAATGTGTTGAAGTGTTTCTCTCCAACAGATCACTTTTGTTGGGCACAGTATTAAACTCCTTGAAAAGTCATGTCAAAAAGTCACGAAGTTGTTGTTTCCGGAGGAAGTATCTATCTATCTATCCATCCATCCATCCATCCATCCATCCATCCATCCATCCATTCATCCATCCATCCATTCATCCATCTATCTATCTTTTTCGTTCTCTCTCTCTATCTCTATTTTTTTTGATTTTACGATCATTATTGGTTAACAGGTTTAAGTTGCCCAGACCAAGGGCAGCTTGCCAATGGATATAGCACATTGACAGGCCAACACTTTGGTAGTGCGGTAACATATCAATGTCATACAGGCTTCTACTTGCTGGGTTCTACAAGTGGTGTTGTTACTGCACGTTGCATGTCCAACAGAAGGTGGTCTCATGATAAACCCGCTTGTTTGCGTAAGTACAAATTCATTTTGTATTAGGTACAGGTTGGAGTATTTTCCATCCCGAAACCTTTCAGATATGTAGCACAGTCCAAATACGGAATTGCATATGTTGGACTCACTATAAAGTCCATGCACTATATGATGTCCAGCACCCTATATAGAGTCCATTGGTCAAAAAATCCCCTGTGCAGAGTCCAGGAGTCCGCTCAGTTTTGATGAGCTTCATCCAGCCGCGCAATCCCCTATAAGGAGTACACTGTTTCCAGTCCAGGAGTCCAGTTTATCCAGTCTGGAGGAAAAGGAATTGTATGCTACCATGGAGAGTGACGTCCATCTAAACTTTGAACTTACAGTTGCGTATAGTGGATTTCGGACTAATGGACTCTATATAGGGGGTGGACATCATATAGGGGCCAGACGCTCTACTGGGTCCGAAATTTATTATCAAGAGTCCGTAAACAAGAGTATGCGACTGTGATCTCTTTTCTATGGGCCACATGCGCGGCGCGCTGCCTTCATTACATCATTCAGCTGCAGTCCGTGCACTGCGGAAAATCAAACACCGCACTTTCCCTCTGGTTTGAAATGAACTTTTGTATGGAACTGGAGTTCACGAGCCAACATTTAGAGATCGCGTAGGTACTGGAACGAATCGAGTAAAAACGGATGGGCTTGTACGAAAAATTGTGGGTTTGGGTGCATGCTTTCGGAGCGTGATGGAGACAAGTTACGTAACGAAGGCAGCGCGCCGCGCACTGACCCATAACCATGTTTGCATACTCTTTTTTATGCACTCTTGATATTATGTGTTGAGCAGAGGTGCTACTCATGCAACAGAGGCATACCCTATGATCAGTACTAATCAACTTCCAACCATGCTTTTTTTAAATCCACACAATCCGTAATCTAAGATGTAGGGATTTGTTTCCGGGTATCGAATCACACTTTTCCACTGCATTCCTCTTTTCAAAAGTCACCCGTACATACAGACACAACACTTCCTCAGAACGGTGCAGCAACCTGGATGCAGTCTTAATGCACCTTGTGTTTCTCTGTGCTTCTCTGTGGAACAGCCCGAACATGCCCTAACCCAGGCAGTCCAACATCTGGTAGCTCCTCTGTTCGAATGGGAATACAGCGTGCCAGTCTGACACACTACCTGTACAACGACACTGTCACATGGACATGTGATATCGGCTATTCTACTACTGAACCTACTACTGCTGTGTGTCAGGCTAGTGGAGGATGGAGTAACAACCATCCAGACTGCAAACGTATGTCTTCTTTTCTTCTTCTTTTTTACAAGATAGCCAGAAACCATCATGGTGCAAACGCCGGCAAAAATAGACACAGAAATGCACATAGCGATGGCAGCCGAAGCAGTGGAGGCAGTGTGCTTGGCAGAATTGCTTGTCACGGCTGGCAGCTGTAGGCAGATCTGGCACCGATGAAGTAATGGGGGGGGGGGGGGTATGCTGTCCCTGATGGGGCGACCAAACATGGGTGTTGCGGGTGCCTCGTCTGTGATGTCTCGCAGATGGACGGGTACACGGGATGGAGGATGGGCAACGGGTGCGGTGTAAGGCTGGATGGAAGTGTGAGCCTGGACATCCTGGATGCAGCCGAGACCGTGGGAACGGGAGTCGATGCGGCTTAGAATTGCAGCAGTTTCAGCCGTGGGTGCATCTAGTGCGGTGTCTGAGGTAGCATAGGCGTGATAATTGGCTGGGCCGATGTGCAGCAATCCGAGGCGAGGGGCTGAGTCACGGCCGAGCAGCGTAAAGTACCGTGGAAGATGGACAATGGCAAATGTGCAGCTGAGGCTGTGCTGGCCATGTGCCACGGGTAGGTGAACATGATCGGCAAGTGGCAGGGGAGCAGACGCGTCAAATGCATAGATTTTGGCGGCGGCTGGTGTGATCTGCTCGGCAGGTGCAATGCGGATGAGGTCGGCACGCATCATGATGTTGGCAGATGCAGTAGTAGGAGCAACTCTGTGCCATTGATCGTGGCGTTGACATGAGCACTGGTGGCCGCAGCATCACGGGAGTAATTTACGTAGGCCCGTCAGTCAGGTAGGAGATGAGGTGCCTGTGAGGGGTAAAATGGGTCCTGTAGGTTGGCTGCTGTGCCAGTACTAGTATGTGCAGTGTTAGGAGCATCAGCTGAAGTGTAGCTGGTGTCCATGCTGTAAGACTGAGAGTACAGTGGGTCTGACATCATGTGTACTGAAGATGGGCTACTCTGCGTGGACAAGCAAGCTTTGGGCAAGTGGCCCCACTTACCATACTTGGGGCAGCGCTTGCAACGTGCAACATCACAGGACCGGTGGCCTTGCTCCCCACAATGGTAGCAGCGCGATGTGTTGAAATCCTGCTGGCCTGGGACGCGAGTACGAGTGTCGGCTGGGGCAGGTGGCTGGTTGTACCACTGATTTCGCAGCTGGAGGTAGCGAAGATTGCATTGGTCGACGTGATGGACCTGAAGCAGTAGCAGCAGGCGGCTGTGTCCTGTCGTGGAACCTTGGCTGATGACGAAGGGCATTGATGGAGTCTTGCGTGCGCCGGAACGCCGTCGTCTGCTCTACTAATGCTTCGAAGGCTCTGGCTGCCCTGAGCACTTTGTCGAGGTCAAGAGACACAGTCTCCAGCAGCTTCCTGCGGAGCAGATCGGACGTGCATCCGGCCACAATTTGATCGCAAAGGGCGTCTTTCTGCTGGGCATCGTCAGCAAAGCTGCAGGTCTGTGCCGATGCCAGCAAACGAGCATAAAACGTATCGTATGTTTCGCCAGGCTGCTGAGTGACCTGACGAAAATGGAAGCGGGCAATGCTGGGGCTCTGCTTGGACTGAATATAGTCAGCGACGGCGGATATGAGGCCGTCGAGATCGTTGCCAGTGTTGGCTAATGTAGGGACGAGCTGCTGAATGTCCTTGCCGGCCCCATACTGGTAGGTGTTCCTCTCACGAGTGGCGTCCGAGATGCCGACCTCAGCGACAAAGAGTCGGAATCTCCATTCCCATGCAGGAAAACGGGCGGCACCGTCATAGAGACTGCTGTATCGGGAATGGCTCCGGAGGCAGTAGTGGCAGTAGGGACATGGCGAGGATTAGGCGTTCGCTTACAGCGCCAATGTAATGTTGTTCTCTTGCTTTTTCAAACAACTGACTCGGAGCTCCGGAAAGCTCTGTAATATGATGGCGACATAATGTAATGGTTTGCGTGCATGAGTACACAGTCGGTGCGCACCGACTGTCAGTACAGGCGTGGGAAGTGGCATATGTAAATGGATAGGAGTACAAACAGTGCCGGGTACATACATGTATATGTGAACACTACAATTGGGTGGAATTAACATCCACAAGCTGCTGGGCGATGTCATTGCCATACATTTTTTTTAATTTACAAGACTGAACTTTGCCATTACAATTAGGTGATAAATTTAGCGAAGAAATTATATATATTTCCATTACCCAGCCACCTTTGCGTAAACAAAAGAAGAATGTAATATCTCTCAAGTTCAACTTACTGACACCCCTGATCCCACTAGTTAATGTAGCATCCATTTGGTGTTTGTCTTTACACAGCGTGTGTGTGTTTAGTTCCTCTTGTCTCACTTCTCACCTTCTCTTTCTCTTTTTTCCTCTTTCTTATCACCCCTTGTGCATGTGTCCCATGTGGCGCAGTGGTATGTGCAGCGATTTCCAATCGATAGGTTGCGGTTTCGATTCCCGACGATTATGGTCACACACGCCTTTCTTCTCTTTCTCAGACTCTTCCTGACTTTTCTTTCATTCTCCTGGGTGGTTACCAACAGCCAGTGCATGCCGGAGTATGTGGTGTTATGTTTGTGCGGGAAAAAAATGAAAAAGACCAAAAAAGGGATTCACGGGCCAGAAAAAGTCACTTCGAATAGCTGTATGGTGTAGACCAGGCTGAATAGTGACGGTCAATTCTTCAGCCTTGCAAGCTGTTGAATGATGCAATCCCAGCACAAGCTGCTATCATCGCCTCCGGCGATGGGCGTCAAAGAGGTGCATAAATTCTTTGCTACATTTATCACCTAGTTGTAATGGGTACCACCCTTGTGATGCTACTTATCCTTATGTTTCATTGGTTCTGATTGCTTGTATTTCATTTGAAGAGAATTCCCGAAAACTGGTCATGAATTTCGGAGTGGCCCAATGTGTTTATAAGCACACTGCTGGGTAGATCCAAGTATCAGTTGTCTGATGATTGCCTAGCGGCATGAAACTCAGAGTTACAACGAACCTGAATGTCCTCCGCTGAGTTTGCTATGTTCTAAGCTCTGTCTCTGATATTTAGCACTCTCTGCAGCTCGGGGATCACTTGATTTATCTATCTATCTATCCATCCATCCATATATCCATCCATATATCCATCCATCCATCCATCCATCTATCTATTAGTGCCCAGATGGTGAGGCAAGGACATTATTCAATGGAAACAATGAAAACGATGGGGCACAAATTATGCGTTAGAGTCCACCAACTATACCAGGTTTTGAACAGTCAGACGTGCACAAGGTAACACCAGACTGACAAGGAGTACTGAGACATTCTCACTTCCTTGCCGTGGAATGTCTCAGTACTCCTTGTCAGTCTGGTGTTGTTGTATACATTGCATGCATCATAGGAGTAATGTGTCATATCATGTTTCTCATGCTATTCATCCTTGCTCACGCTAGACTAGACGTCTGCGTAGGGACGGCTTGCCGGTGTGCTGCATGCATTCATTGCTAGTTCCATGCATAGTTCTATGCCCTACTGTGGCGGGAAGGTCATCCCGTGCAGCCGCGATGACCAGCTGCGCTACAGAGGTTCAGTTCCGGCAAACATGCGTGCGGATTTGCATTTTGCTGCTTGGTTTTTGATGTATTTGTAGTTAGTGCAAGGAAAGAGCTTGCTGGTGCAGTTGTTGTTTTGGTTTTGGTTTTGAGTTTAGTTTGCTCTTTGTTGTTACCTGGTTTGAACGATCGCCTTTTGTGGAATCGTTACGCTCATTGTGGTACAATAATACAGTCTTCAGAAATATCGAATACAGGTGTTACCTTGTGCACGTCTGACTGTTCAAAACCTGGTATAGTTGGTGGACTCTAACGCATAACTTGTGCCCCACCATTTTCCTTGTTTCTATCTATCTATATTTTTCTTTCTTTCTTTCTCTCTCTCGATCTCTTTCCCTACTTTTCCGTTTTATGATAATTATTGGTGTACAGATATAAGTTGCCAAGACCAAGGGCAGCTTGCCAATGGAGATAGCACATCGACAGGCCAACAATTTGGTAGTACAGTTACATATCAATGTCATACAGGCTTCTACTTGCTGGGTTCTACAAGTGGTGTTGTTACTGCACGTTGCATGTCCAACAAAAGGTGGTCTCATGATAAACCCACTTGTTTACGTAAGTTCAAAATCATTATCTGCCGGTGTATAGTTCTTGCTAATAGTAGCTCGCTTTTTCATCAGCTCTTGTAATTTGGTTATTTTCAAGACGATCATTTTTTTGTGGCGTCAGGGGGTGATAGCCCTCGTCTTCTGGGATGCTGGCATGGGTAAGCGGTGCAGCCCCAGGAACTCTTCAAAGGTGAGGCAATGTTGGCTTGATGGAGTTTTGTTCATAGCTTGGTCATGTACGCTGTAGCGTGGTTCGTTTGTAGACCCATAAATTATTTGATTTTTCGACAATTTTCGAGGGGTATGCCAATTTCAAGGTTCCCTTCAGAATTTTTCATGGGCTTGGCGCGGTCGATCTACACCCTAAAGGAAACCAACTTGCAAAATTTCAGTGAAATCGGAGAGATTGACATTCACACAGTGTCTAGTATTCTCAGACATGCTCTCTTAAGCAGATGTGCTACTCATGCAACAGAGGCATACTCTATGATCAGTCCTAATCAACTTGCAACCAAAGCTCTTTTTTTATCCACACAATCCGTAATCTAAGACGTAGGCAGTTTGTTTTCGGTTATTGAATCGCATTTATCCACCATAACATTGTTATTCCTCTTTTCAAAAGACACCCATACATACTGACACAGCACTTCCTCATAACCGTGAAGCAACCTGGATGCAGTTTTGAATGCACCTCGTGTTTCTCTGTGCTTCTCTGTGAAACAGCCAGGGCATGTCATAATCCAGGCAGACCTACATTTGGTGACTTCTCTGTTCAAATGGGAATACAGCGTGCCCATCTGACACCATACCTGTACAACGACACAGTCACATGGACATGTGATATTGGCTATGCTACTACTCAACCTACTACTGCTGTGTGTCAGGCTAATCAAACATGGAGTAACAACCGCCCAGGCTGCCAAAGTATGTAAACACAGTGAAGGGATGTGTACGCTTCTCGTTGGCTGCTTTTTTGCAATAAGGCTGCCCACAGCCAACCCTGCAATAGTTATGGCAGATGTGAGGTAGTTATGGCAGATGTGAGGTAGTTACGGCAGATGTGAGGCAGTTATGGCAGATGTGAGGTAGTTATGGCAGATGTGAGGTAGTCATGGCAGATGTGAGGTACAGTGCATTTCAAAACTATAGACGCGTAGGGTTTTTGAAATATTTCAAATTTGGCTGGAACTTTTTGAGAATAGTTTTCGGAATATTGCTCAGGACCGCTCCACAATTACTCTCATATAGTTTCTAAACGATTGGATAACAGACGCCCAATTTGGAAAAAATTATGCACAAAGTGATCCCAGATTTTATGTGGTATAGATGCTGGCATAACGGTTTTTGCCTAGGTACGCGTCTATAGTTTTGAAATGGACTGTAGTTAGGGCAGATGTGAGGTAGTTATGGCAGATGTGAGGTAGTTATGGCAGATGTGAGGTAGTTATGGCAGATGTGAGGTGTGAGAAAGAATCATGTTTTATACAGATGTCATTTTGATCATTTCTACTGTAGTACATGAGTAGTATAGGGTATAGTATAGGGTATAGAGTAGTATAGCACATGCACAAAAGATGATGGAAGTCTGGCTAGCTAATGGGGATTCTCACTCACGGGAAACCTGAGGCCACGTGACAAGGTCAAAGTTCAGGCCGTCAGGCAACCGAGTGTGGCCATTCACACCCGGGGTTTTCCCTTGGCTGCATGTTTGGCCATGAATTTGTGGCCGGGAAAAATTAAAATATATAATCTGTCCTGCATTTTTGTAGCACAGTCCGTATTGTGTTTTGCATTTGCCATGCGCAATTTTCCGCATGGGCACTGTTTGAAAATGCAGGTTGCAATGCACTCATACAACTAGGGTTCAGAGTTCTCGCCAAATACAAAATCTACGCACATGCGTCGTATAGCCGTGGGATTTCCCCTTGACAAACGTCCTGAGGCCCATGGTCACGGCTTTGCCAATTTTACCCGAGAGGTTCACCCTTTCCCCAGTATCATGGTTTCCATAACAACTTTCCCAAAACTGTGGTTTTATCCGTGTGTGTGAATCCCCTATAAGGGCCGGATTTACACAGTAAAAACAGTTATCCTTAATCTTGTGAGGGTGTAGTATAATGTGTCCTTCTTAAACTCAAGTAACCGTGACTGGATGCCTCGGTCCTGTTGCACAAAGACACATACCCATGCACATACACACATGCACGCACGCACACAAACACACACACACACACACACACACACACACACGCCCGTACCTTGGACCTTGGACGCCCATCGCTGGTGCGATGATAGCGTGCGAGCTGAGCAATATGGGGAGTGGCGCTTCAAGTCACCCGCCCGGCGAAATGTTCGTCCACACCGGCATGCACAGAAAACTCTTCGCTGGCTCTGGCGGAGGAGGACGAGGACGACGAGACAACTTCCTCCACTCTCCCCTGTCTTGTGCCACATCATACCAGTCACCTTCCGGGATCCCCGCCACGGCCAGATCAGATCTAGCAACATCACGCCATCTCTTCCTGGGGCCATGACTGGGGCACCGCGACGGAAGCTCCCCGAAGAGGACCTGCTTGGGGAGACGGGTGGAATCCATCCCGGCAATATGACGAAGCTGGCGAAGACGATGGCACCGCAGAAGCTCACCAATGTCTCCTGGGAGTCCGACACGCTTTGCAATCTCCTCTCTGGTGAGCCTGTTCTGCCACTGCGTCGAGCGAGATACATCGAGGATGGCACGGCTGCATGTATGATGGAAGACGTTCAGGCACCGCAGGTGTGTCGCATTCAGTGCCCAGGTTTCGGTACTGTAAAACAGAGTGGTGAGTACAATGGCCTTATACACCAGTCTCTTCGTGTGTATATGTTGGGACTTGCAGTGGAATATTGGCATCTGCAAGGAGTCAAAGACGCATGACGCCTTAGCCAGCCGCACTGCTACCTCGCCATCCAGTGAACCATTATCATTCAGAGAACCACCGAGGTAGGTAAAACTTGCCACCTGATCAATAACATCACCAGACTCCAGATGAATGCCACACTGAGCAGAGTCATCACCTAAGGCCATCGCCTTCATCTTGGAAGTGCTCACGGTCAAACCCCAACGCGCAGTGCAGCTGACGAACTCCCTCGCCATGATGTCAATCTCAAGCCGAGACAGTGCGTAAAGTGCTGCATCATCTGCAAACTGTGACTCCGTTACCTCGGTCTACAGCAGTTTCGACTTAGCCGACCGATCGCCAACAAGCTTCCGTCCGATGCGGTAGCGCAGAGTCACACCAGGCACAGTTGATTGGGAGCGCCACGAGGCAACAACCGTGGCAAAGTAGATATTGAACAGAGTAGGTGCCAGGGTACAGCCCTTCCGGAGACCATTGGCCACAAAGATGGCATCTGTTAGCCCACCAGCAACGCGAACCCTGGCCTCCATGCCATCGTGGAGACTCCGGATTAAGCCGAGCACATGCTGCGGCACACCAGCTCTCTCCAAGACCAGCCACAATGCATGGCGGGGAATAGAGTCATACGCCTTTCTAAGGTCGACAAAAAGGACGTACAGCTGCGAGGTATGCTTAATGGATTTCTCCAAAAGCTGACGAGCCACAAACATCATATCCACGCAACCACGGCCCTTCCGACACCCACACTGCGACTCTGGCAAGATGTCCTCCGCCAGCTTCATTAGGCGATCCTGGAGGACACGAGCAAACAACTTCCCAACAACGTCCAGGAGACTGATGCCGCACCAATTGTCACATCGATGGAGGTCTCCTTTCTTAGGAATCGTGACAATCTCCGCATCACGCCACTCAGGAGGCACCGAACCGCTCAATCACACCGCCCGGACAAGATTGGATATACGCTGATGCAAGTCTTCCCCACCGTAGCGAAGGAACTCTGGAGCGATCTTAGACTCCCCTGGAGCTGTACACAGGTTCAGCCTCCGCATTGCACGCATCACCTCATCGAAATCCGGAGGGAGATCCAGGCTCACACGCGACTCCTCAATATGCATACTCTGTAACACAGTGACATGATCAACATTACTACAAGTAGCAACAGTGAACAGCAGTGAACACCTGCGCAAAGTGGTGACTCCAGCAATCCCTGAGACCACCAGGGCTGGACGTTAAAACACCTTCTTGATTGTACACTGCTGACATGATGGTAACCAGTCGTCTCCCAGAATGTACCCCCTGCAGTTTCCTGATGGATTTTCAGCGCGTGCAACCATCCTTTTGCGTGTTCTTTGCGTCGGTAGCGACCTCCGCAATCCAACTCTCCTTCGCCAGACGAATCTCTCGGCTGACTGACCTCTGGGCAGCCCTGAAGTCCCTTCGCATCGAGGCATTATCGTTCACAAGCATCCGTTCATGCATCATCCGCTCCTCCTCAATCAAGGGCTCCAAGATTGACTGGCTCTCCAGAAACCAGTAAGGTTGTCTGCGTTTGTCGTGGCCCGGCACCCTAGACGCAACACCTTGAATATCAGTACATGCAACGTCCCAGGCCTCCTTGACATTGCTATTCTCATCTACGCTCGCAGGCATTCTCCATCTCCTTACGAAACGGCTCTCAGAAGTCACTGCTCTGCAGCCTATGCACAGCATAGGGCTTCCTCCGCTTGTTGGACTGTGTCTTAGGCAGGACGAAATTGAGTGCAAGTCTGGTGCGAACCAAGAAATGATCCGTCCAACACAGCCCCCGGCGCATGACGCTCACATCCCGGCAATAACCTGATAACAACGCCGCTGGCGTGGTGCATGGCCAGAGCGCATCACAATGTTATCTATCAAATGTTCGTTCCGAGTTGCTGGGTGTACCCACAGGCGCTATAGGCGCGTACGCAAGGGGGGTTTCCCGTTGCCCGAACCCCCCCCCCCCAAATGTTCCAAACGAGCAACGTGTATGGGCATTTTTTTGTAGGGCGCGCGATCGATCTGACAAGAATGCAAAATGTTTCTTCAACAGATCGTAACTCAGTCAAATTTCGCTCAAATTCAACAGTCTAAATATTCAGGTCGAATAGAAAAATCTCAGCTTTCCGTAGAAACAATTCCCGAAGCGCTGCGAGCAATGTTTCTTGAGATAATATAATTTTATCATTTGTAGGGGTGAAACAATTATACCGAGTACTCGAGTACTCGCTCGGTTTTAAAAAAAATAATCGTACTCGGAATAAGTCAGAGTACTAGTTCATACATGGTACATGTGTTTACCACAGAAATCTGCAGTTTCAGGGCAGCAGTGGGCAGATATTGATGTGCAGACTGTGTGGTGAACATTTGTTCACGAGTAGAGAGAGCCCAAATGACCCACCAACCAATATACCCGAGAAAAATGACTGCTACTCGGTTCAATCAGGGTTGTATCATGTGATTTTAAGGCCCTTGGTGTGCAATTTTTAGGATATGAAGAATACTCGAATACTCGAATATTCGATCGGAGAAAATCAGAGTACTCGAACTCGGGATCTCAGTGCCAACTTTCACCCCTAATCATTTGTAAGTTGAGCCGCAAGCTCGGCAATTTCAAAAGCGCGCAGTGCAACTTGAGTATCGAGAATTTGAGACTTTTCGTCACGTTGACTTGCTCAAATTTGCAGGGGCTTCTCTTGTGGTATTCTCAAGTATACACAGCAAAACAACCAAAACTCTGCAATTGAGAAAAACAAAATCGCTGGAGCAGGACGCGTTTGGGCCTTTGGGTCATTTTTCGCACCCTAGCTGCACTCTAGCGCTAGTTATACACGTACAGTGTTCTGGCTATCATGGTCGACCTTTGTTTACCTCATTTTCTTCCCCTCCCGGATACCTTTCTTCTTCCAGGAAGCCCAAAGATATGAAGATTGAGTGAGTAGAACTGAAGTTATAATCCAAGGAACACGAAATTTGAACTTTGAAAATTTTCCTAGGGCTCTTTTCCGAGGGTTTAAAACTCATTGTTTGTGATTCGGTTGGAACCCCCCCCCCCCAGAGGTGACCCTGCGTACGCGCCTGAACCAAGCTCCATGTTTACGTTTCTTCTTCCTGAACCAAGTGTACATGATAGATAGATCATGGAGTGCACAAAACAACAGCAAGTTTTCTCCAGCCTCATTGAAGGATCCAAGGCCATACCGCCCACGCACACGACTCCAGCCATCACCGTCGCCACGCATGTCACCGAAACGAGCGACATCACCAAACACCAGGTCGCATGATGAACCAACACGAGCATTGAAATCCGCTAAGAGTAGCAGAATATCGCCAGAATTGACTGTTATTTTCGACTATCTCGTACACACCACCACCACCACCACAACAACAACAACAACAACAACAACAACAACAACAACAACAGTAGAACTGCAGGGTCGCAGCAACAGCTGCTCCAATTCTTGCACCGCATGTGTATTAATATAACTATGCCTCAGGCATAGAGAAGCATTTAAACATAATTATGGCAGCCTGGTACACATCGCTTTAGCATAACAAAAGGAAAACAACGCAAGACAGTAAGCGATCCCAGCCATGGTACACTGGATACATGAACTTCTGATAGAAATGCGTTCACCACGGCTTAGTGCACTGATTAATGGGAATTGCCGCCAGCGATAATAGTGGAGATGCTGAATAACCCCAAATGGGCCAGTCTAAAGCCAATGTGCTACCTTAATGCACCAGCGCAGCCGACACGGTGCAGGCACACGCACACATACACACGCGCGCGCACGCGCGCGCGCACACACGATCGCGGAAACATGCTCGGCACATACACGCACTACTGCTTACTCAGCCAATAAATCGATATGCACATACATATCTAGCAATGAATATCCAATTGGATGGGTGGGTGGGATTTTCAACTGTACAGCAGCAGTGCAAGAACAAAAAGAACATTATCTTCAGACCAGCATGCACCTTCATGTGCATTTTGCAACTCCGCACTGTGCAGCCAGTGCGTATCGCACTCCCAGCACAGTCCGTGAACTCTGGACTGTGCACTTGCATTTCGAAAAGAACAGCATTTCTTGTTTACTTCGTTGCTCTCATCCAACAAGAAATGAGGCATTGCTCATGACTGACTGTAGGTCACTGAAGAAACGATCCTTGACTACCGAGTCGAGAAAAACGCCACCACCACTGACAGGCCAAACGTCGTTCCCAGGCCAGCGCGTCTCCTGTACACCAGCCACATCGATTTTGAAATGTTGTAGTTCGTTTGCAAGAATATCAAGTTTCCTGTCAACAGGCCTGTCACCGGCCGATGCACGTCCTCTACAAGTCCTCACATCCTCACCATCCTCCACCAGAGAGCAAACATTCCACGTCGCAGCAGTCAGAACGCTCCCTTTCCCGACACTCTTTCTCTTCGCCACCATGTCAAAATTCAAATTCAAAAATATCGCTCCGCTCGCCTTGTGCAGCGTGCTGTTCAAACTCCACCAGGCAACATGCAAGGCTACCTAGTGGGCCACCACAGCCATGGCCTGCTCTACACCACACGGCTCACGGCTGCTTAGGGTGGCTACAACATCCTGAAGAAAGAGCTCACAAAAAGCAAACCTTCCTCTCCGCACTCAACAGCATACACACACACACACACACACACACACACACACACACACACACACACACACACACACACACACTTGTATTTGTACTTGTACTTGTTGCTCACTGCCAAAACTGGTCATGTGGGTCTCCCCGGGAGAGGGGAGAGAGACTCAAAAGGAATCCTGGAAAGATGACTCAGTTGGCTATTGAACCGCCCAACGGCCGACACCTCCTGAAATCCCCAAAACTCTGGGCGGACTTGAAAATGATCCCACTTATGGGCTCACCACACCTCAGTAAGTGGGTGAGGACAAGGTGCAGAAAAAGGATTGACGGCATCAGGGTGTCCGTCCCGGGATTCAACTGCAGTTACCCCTGCCCCCAACGGAGGTAATACTTGCTACTAGTATGGGTGGCTAAATCAGAGTGGATCTGATATAAGCTTCACTAGCACCATTGATTACACAAGAGTTAATCTAGCCAGAAGCAGTCCATGGTTAACAAGTATGTATACTTCGAATAGAAAGTATATGAACCCTGGAACCAACAAAGGTGGCAGGTACAACATTCCACTTTCAAGCAGGCGAGCCCGTTGGCAACAGACCCAACACAATCAGGCATAAGTGTACCCACCAACCGAACTAGCTGACACACACACACACACACACACACACACACACACACATACACACACACACACACCTCAGACCTCAGACCTGCCCATCGCGGAAGCGATGATAGCGAACAGCTATGTTAGACATAGCAACTTGTCGTGTGTGTAGTGCTGGGATTGCACCATTCAACAGCTTGCAAGGCTGAAGAATTGACCGCCACTATTTTTAGCCTGGTATCCACCACACAGCTGATTGAAGTGACTTTTTCTGGCCAGTGAATCCCTATTTTTCATTTTTCCATACACACACACACACACACACACAATTTCAAAATACCAACAGTTTTTAAGGTAGCAGCCTTTTTGCAGGCCTTTTTGCAGGCTTTAACCGCTTTCACTGACTCCACCAAAGTTATGAATATCTGAATCTTTATGATGTATTGCTACATTGTGTTCTCAGTCAAATGTATAACTTGACTGAGGTAAAATCTTCACTAGTTTGAGGGAAAGACACAAACGGGAGAAGTCTGAAGAAAAAATTGACTGTCACCACCAGGACTCGAACCAGGGACCCTCGCTTGTAGCTAGCGATGCTCTAACCACTGAGCTATGAGGTAAAATTAAAACTACATAATCAATGTTCAGTGGTAATGGTATTACAACAAAAATTACGAAAAGCTATGTCCCAGAGTAGAGAGAAGGGTTTAACTTCGTGGCCCAAGTATCGCCCCCAGATTGACTTGACTTGAGGGGATCATTCATGTCATGCTGTTACTCTCTTATCCCAGGTATAACAACTATTCGTCCTCCATCTACAAGGCAGATATCCCCTCAGTTTACGAAGGAACGGAATACGCGCGCTGAATCTACCCCAACGACTGTTCAACTCCCTACAACCTCCTCTCACTTAGATGAGTCTGAAGAGTACTCTTCGGGACTAGGTCAGTCAGCTATAATCGGGATTTCCGCGTCTGTTGGAACTGTGCTAGTTATATCTGCTATATTCTGTTCAGTGTGGTGGACATCCAGAATGTACACCAAACGGTCTTGTTCCGGTGTAAGCTCAGATAAAGAGCATCAATGCAGCAACAAGGCGGGAGAAGGAGATGGCATATACGAAACAGTGATTGGTGAGCGGCTTGATCAGACAGATGTACTAATGACTGTAGAGCAATCAAAAGAGGCTGCCGATCCTATGTACGAGAGCCCAGCTAACATGAGTACTACGAAGACTTCCTGTGTACACACCTCGAATGAGGCCTACGCAACCACATCGGACATGCTCTAATTTCCTGGGGCGAGTCTTATCAATGAGAATTCTACTTTCATGGCAGTAGTGCTAACGTGTCGCATGTGGATCTGTTTCATTGGCTTTCCTTATCTGGTGGAACTCCACGACTGCCAGCTCCAAGCACAACACAATGTGGCAGATCTTAGACAGTGTGGCAGATGCGAGTTGGTGTAACGCTACACCCCCCCCCCCCCCCGCCCCAAATGAAAAAGCTGAGCTACGCATTTTTCAGCCTCTACGTTACGCTCTCACCAGGTCACGAGCTAGTTAAACACCAGGAATTACATGCAGCGAGGACAAATATTCACGTTCTCTTCCGTATCCATAATGACTTGTACCTGGCATTCTATGTTGGATATTAATTGTCTCGGAACATATTGTATCCCTGCATGCATTTCTTGCCATTCCATGGCAGTGAACGAAAGGATCATACTAATGTATGATCCTTTCGTTCACTGCCATGGAATGGTTTCTCACTTGAGCAGCCAATAATCTAGGCAATAACCTATTCATATTAATTTTGATAGCCACTTACCTTTCAGCTTTACCTAATGAGAATTGTGCATAACCTAACCTTTTCAGAATACACTGAGTGTGCAATGTTATGTACTATAATATGGATATGAGCACCACAAAGCATTTGCTTCACTTGTTTCACTAAATCACTTCCAGCAACGGTATCCTTCGCGTTTACATTCGCCTCTTTTACTTTGCACATGATTTACAAGAAATCGCTGAGCTGTGCAATCCTGTTGTCGATCATATAAAACAGCAATCATGCGGGATGGCAAGATCATTGTTCACTGAACTTGGACCATATTATACTGTACTACATTTGTATAATGAGTACTAGTATGTACATTCCATTGTAGTAGTACCGTAAAGTCCGCTGCAAACGCTCACCCCATTTTTGCAAGATCTGCTGGCCTGTACGAACTGATCCCATGCACTGTCACCCCTACTGTAGTACGAAAGTGCATCTCACACCGTAGCGCGAAGAGCGCTTTGCTATGGTAATCTTTGATTGTCCACTTTCCTGGTTTCAAAATCTCTTTGGGCACTAGCTCGTAGTGATTTTATGATGTTGGTTGTTTTATTTCGCAAATCCAAACGGGAGTTTCTTCCGAATAACAAGGTAGCGAAGAACAGAGTATTGCAGGAACCAAAATACACTTCTGGCGGTGTTTCAAGCCATCATTTCCTAATCACACAAAGCGCAAAGGCAAGGGTTTTTCTCGAACACTTCAGAGTTTTCAACAAGTTAAATAGCAGCGACTTTGTATGTGTAGCTTCTGTGACATCCCCCCTGTTCGACTTGCAACTGGTACCGGTCAAGCCGTTGAACAGTGACGCTTTGTCAGAACAATCACCGTTCCGTTCTGAAAGCGCGACATCTTGGGCCTGCAGAAATTTTTAAAAGGATTTGAAAACCAGATGGATTCGAGCCTGTAAACTACCACCCTATCTCCTTTCTTCTTTGCGTATCCAAAGTGTGTGAACGCATCTTCGATGATCACTTATACAGACATGTTTCGCCGTTCCTGAGTCCCGCACAATCTCGGTTTCGTAAAGGCGACTCCACCTCCCTTCAACTGACGCGCATTGTGCAACAGGTATGCCAGCATAGGGATAACAGAGCCCTTGCTGGTATGTGCTTCTTTGACTTGGCGAAGGCATTTGATACCGTCTGGCATCGATGACTTTTGGCAAAGTTCGAGCATTCATTCAGGGTAAGCAAACAGCCACTCTCCTGACTGAAATCGTATCTCTCTGGGCGTTATCAGTACGTAACTGTGCTTGGCACACCCTCGGCTGCAGAGTCAGTATTGTCAGGGGTTCCTCAAGGATCAATTATTGGTCCCCTACTATTTATAATTTACGTAAACGACTTACCTGCAATCTTTCCTGGAACATCTTTGTTTGCTGATGACACGACCCTTCTTACCTCATGGCCTTCCCTCACTGGCCTGAAAAACAACTTCTGTGCTGGCATTCGGATGTCGTCCTGAAGGCTGTTCCCAAATCCATCAAAAACAAAGATCATGCTCTTCATGTCCCAGCCGGAATTCACATCTCTCATCCATTCCAATTTTTCAAATCCAATTGACATAGTGTCTTCTCACAAACACCTTGGCATTGTAAATAACTCTGCACTCTCTTGGTTGCCCCACATCGGATATAATATATTATCAGTTCTGTCAAAAATCAAGCAAATCCTTAGGAATTCAGTCTCTTCCCCCCACTGCTCCTACCTCCCAGTCTCTTGCAAGCTTCTTTTTTATTCAGCCTATCTTCGCCCAGTATTCGATTATGCCGATACGTCATGGGCTGGATTATCCTCGTCCGCTGCTGCAAAGCTTGAAATACACCACAAGAAAATCCTTAAAATTCTCCTCCGTCAACCCCGCATGCTCTCATCATCCGCTCTTTATAAACTCGCTCACCCCCACCCCCCGTTATCACATGGACGCAGTGCACACCTGGCTGCTCTTGTCCATTCTAGTAAGCTTGAGGTGCGCCCACCTCATCTCATGTGTTTTAATTGGTTCTCTTCTCTAAGAACTAGGGACTCGCAGTCGCTCGTACTCCCCAAGTGTAACTCATCCACTCTCTTGCGCTCCCCTCTCCTGCTTTTTCTGTCTGGCTCACTCTGCCCAGAGAAGTTAAGGATATGATCTCACTCCGCCTGTTCAAGATCCGTGCCGCGCCTTATTTACTACGACATAAGTAGCACATTATCCACATGTCCTTTGCGTCTCTGTTGCTTTTCACTGTTTTCTTTGACATGCTCTTTCTTTACTGAGTTGTTGTTGCTGTTGATTTGCTCCTCTTTTGTTTTCCCTCCCCCTTACTTTTATTTTTCGCCGTGGTTGGCAATCACCCACTCTCTTTGTTGTGAACCCTCTAAGATTCTCTTAATTGTCAGGATCGTACGACCACACGGCACGAGGACAACTCTTTTCCTTTACACAGTATATTTCACTTCATCGAATAATTAACAATGAACACTAATAACACCAGCTATTTATAGCATGCAAAAACAGCGTACATGCAAAAACATATGCATGTAAAACTGGACATAACAGCGTATACAGCAAAACACACACAGCGCATATAGCGTATGCCATGCAGCAACATCAGCGGTACGGCGGAGTCGAAAGACAACATTGCGACGAATACAATGCCATAAGCGCGAAGGCCTTTCCCAATTGAGAACTGGTGGTTTGCAACATTCTCCCCACCAAAGGGCTTCTCACCGCCGTAGAACAATGCACACAAGTCAAAAACGATCCGGGGCTCTGACTATGCGCCCAGAACGTGTCATCTCCTGCTGCCGTGGTGGTGGTAACGGTGCTGACGGTTCATACGCTGGCTGCTGAGGGACGATAGCAGGTTGAGCGGTATCTGCAGGCCCAGGAGCCACGTCCTGTGACGATACTTCTAACGGCACTAACCTTTGGATCGGCCTCAACAGGGTACTGGTACTCAACTTAACCTTGGCAACACGACGCTTACCATCTCGACCAGGGAATAACTCGATGATCCGTCCCAAACGCCAGAACTGTTTGCGCTTGGTATCATCGAGAACAAAGACCACATCACCCACAGCTAAAGGGCGCGACATGGTCTGTTGGTGTTTGTTCAGCTGACTTAGGTACTCCACCTCCCAACGATTCTTGACATGCTCCAGTGTCCGACTGAGGTAACGCAATCTCGATGACATCTGCGCAGCGTCCAGATTACCTGCTGGCTTCTCTGACGACATCCAGATGTCACCCATCATCATTGCAGGGGTTACTGGTGGCTCATCCAGGCTATCCGACACATAAGTTAGCGGACCACTATTCACCACTGCTTCAACCTCATACAAGAGGGTCTCAAGCTCCTGGACCTTCAGAAACGCTGTTCCCATTACCTTTTTCAAGGCACTCTTCACTGTACCAACCATTCTCTCATAGAAGCCTCCATGCCATGGTGCAGCTGGAGGATTGAACATCCATGGCACACTCAGTTTGTCAGATGCCGCCTTGAACGTTGTAGCATTGTCAGACCTGATCCGAGACGGCAAACTACGTCTCGCGACAAACTTCCGAAATGCTATCAAGAATGACTCAGTACTTAAACTATCGACCACCTCCAAGTGAACTGCTCTGGTGGTGGCACACACAAACAATGCTATCCATACCTTCGGAGATGACTCACCACGGCGCACGTACAACGGACCAGCATAGTCGATGCCGGTAGTTGCGAACGGCCTCTCGTGAACAACTCGGTCTTCCGGCAGCGGCGGGCAGACTTCTGAGGCAGCCTTAGCCTTGTAGCGGCGGCATGTAACACATCGCTGAGTAATGTTGCGTAGCGCCCGTCGACCACCGATAATCCAAAATTTCTGACGGATGAACGACAAGACTCCTTCTACACCTTGGTGCATCCTTTCAACATGCATTTTCTCCAACAGCAACTCGGTCAGATGATGTTTGCCTAACAGGACTGGGTGCTTGGCTCCATACGCCAACTCGCTGTGCTGAAGTCGTCCCCCGGCTCTGAGCACTCCATGCTCATCCAGAAACGGTGCAAGCTGATAGACCTTCGACCCAGGCTTCACTGGTTGACCTTGCTTGATCAGCTCAAGATCCTCAGCGAAATATGCGGCTTGAACGATGCGGTACAATACGTTGTCTGCTGCAAAATAGAGTTCAGCACGAGGCTCAGTGTGCTTCCACTGCAACATTCAAGTCACCATGCCCTGTGCCCTCGACCATTTACTGAATCGGAGCCACCATTCCTTATCAGATTCTCGACTACAGGTGGTGGCTGACACTCGTACTTCTACACTGGACTCATCTGTAGCTGCGGTTGAGGATGCGGTGGGCCAGTCATTGGGCTCCGTGATCCAGGTTGGTCCGCCCCTCCAGAACGGACTACGGATCTGCTGTGCACTACTCCCACGCGACGGTAAATCTGCTGGGTTGTGAAGGCCCGGGCAATGGTTCCACACAATGCCGACCTTCTTCGATATCTCTTGGACTTGACTGACGCGGTTAGCCACAAATGTTTTCCATTTGTACGATGGATTACTGATCCAATGAACGGTAGTGAGACTGTCAGTCCAGCCATAGACTTGCGTGACGGTCACACGCAGCTCCTTCACCACAAACTCAGCGTAGCGAGCCGCTAGACATACTGCTTGTAACTCAAGGCGGGCTAACGTGGGCGGAGACACAGGTGCCACTTTGGCCTTGGCAAATACCAAGTGCGACTGTCCATTGACGACTGCATACAAACAACATCCAAACGCTTTCTCACTGGCATCGGCGAAGGCATGAAGCGCAATCGGCGTGTCAAGATTGCAGCAAATCCAACGTGGTATGTCAATGCTCACCACTTCGGCCAACTCTCCCCACCATTGCGCACATGCGGCTGCGATGCCATCAGGCAACCTATCATCCCAGTCGCCTCCAACTTTCCAGGCTTGCTGTAGCAGTATCTTTCCCGGCACAACTGCCGGTGCTGCTAGACCTAGCGGATCAAACATTGATGCAACACACTTGAGGAGGGATCGCTGGGTCCAAACAGACGGCCTATCGGACTTGCCTAGCGCTGCTATGCTGAGCAAGTCATCACTGGTTTTCCATTTCAGACCGAGGACTTTATCTCCGGCCTCTGGATCGCACGGGATTTCGTTGCCTCGCCACTTGCGTAACTCCATGCCAGCATCCGTAAGCACACGCACGCTGAACTCTTGCATCTCCTTGGCTTCCGAGGCATTGGAGACACTAGAGACCAAATCGTCAACGTAGAAACTCGTGAGCAAGAGATCAATACGATCTCGCTCTTTGGGTGCAGACAACGCCCGTAGCTCCTTCAAGTGATGCTGAATCACCGCAGTAAGCATGTACGG